ACTTTAAGTTTTCCCTCTTTGATCTTATCACTATTTTATGGTAAGTCTTCCCACTGTATTTCCCCACCACAGAGGTAAACTTTATGCTTCCCCGCCTCTTAAAGTACCAGTAATTTGGTTGTTCTACTTTATGTGTTAGTCCTATTTTTGTTGGTACTGGAGTTCAACAGTGCCCAAGATAACTCAGGTACTACCAAAAAGCTCTTTTGATGAACTGAAATGGCTTCTTATTTCACCAATTAAAACACACCTCTCCAAATACAGAAAATTTATCCTGAATTGCAGCTTGCAGTTTGTCTTCTGCTTCATCTTCAGATATTTCTAGCAGGAAATAAAATCATGGTCTCAAGATTAACGGAAATTCAGGAATAGTTAAGATTAATAGTCATGAGTTTTACAACTTAGGAGCCATTATGCAGAAGATTTATTGCGAATAGTACCTGAAATTGCACCAATAGTCTTTCCCACATTTGGCAAACTAAGTTCGGTTCGCACTCCTTCCCCACCGACAGAAGGTCCCCATGAAAAAGGGCCAGCAGTTAAGTCGATAAATGCCCACCTGAGAGGAAATGCTCACAAAATCATGAAACATACAGCTTTGTCAATTTATTGGCATGCATAAGATGTGCTCTAAGCCAGAATAACAAGGTTAAATATATGTACACACATGAACTGAGAGCTTCAGAATAGCAACCTGCCCTTTCCGATCCAGATATCAGTCAGACATTCTGCGTTAAGATTGCCAAAGTCTCCAGCTTTTAAATCCTTCTCTAGAAACACCTTCATATCTTCATTTTTCCCTCTAAGCAACTAGAAATTTCCATTGAGAAAGATCCAACGTTACGCACATGCAGGGACATCCATTTAGAATAAAAAGGAAATTCTGGGGCCAGAAAGTATTAGGCCAACATAAAAGAAGATTAGTACCTGCAAAACCTTACTCTGAATGACTTCGGCTGCATCTTTACCAAGAGATAACTGTTCCAACTTGTTAAGAGCATCCTGGCATGCATTAAACCACTCAACCTGAAAGCAAGACAACAATCAACACCTTAAAACACAATAGCCAACATTGTAAGATATAATAAACACCAGATACTCGAAGCACAACGGCTCTGGTTCTGAATGTGAGTATAGTCATTGCAAAACACCGCGGAACTAAACACATTGCCAAACTAAACATCTGCCATGTCTTACAAACATTAAGGCTAATCAATGGAATAATAAAACTTAATCATAAGAGTGCAGCTAAAATAACTAACCGTATCAGTCTCCTCTGCATTTGTCCAGGAAAATTTCAGCATTGGATGTCTGTCGTACAATGGCTTCCTCACCATATCAAATGCTACAACATACTCGCAGCAGGTTTCAAATAAGAAAACTGGAATGTACATAATCAATGGAGACATATCATTGTTATTTGCCATTCTGTACCTAAAATATTTTCTGACGGTTTTCCAGACTGAAGAAGTTTTTTAAGTATTTCCTTGTTCTGCGAGAAATAGTAAGAGTAATATGAACTTGGGATAGACATAGAAGCACTTAACAGCGAACTTAACCAAGAGATCACTTTAAGGACATTCTTCTTTTTTGGTAAGGATTGTTTATGATGCAATTGCTTTCAAAGAATGAACAGAATGACCTACCTCTTTCAGATAAGATAACTCTGACTCTGAAAACCCTCTCCTGCAAAATCCTTTTATAAGTCTAGTATGTTCCTCGACTGTATTACAAAAATATGATAATATAGACAGCAGGTGCTCACCGGTATCCATATCTGGCTTTTTTGTTATCGTGTTTGGGATTCAAAACAAATACGTTGTATGCATCCTCGAGATGGAAATATTCGACAAGGCTAGTGAAAATGAATTCCATCATCTCAACATCCACTTGCAATAGAGCACTTTCCTCATCTCTGTTACAATAAAACGAGATAGTTTAATAAAGAAAAGTTGCTAGAACCAAGTGGTCTGCAGGCTCAGATCTCTCTGCATATAAATTGACCAGAAATGGACGTCCATACGGCATAAACTGAAGCAAAAAAGGCTTTTGTAATGCATTACTTATTGGTAGACACATCATCTTTGCGAGCCAAAACTTTGATTGCGCGTTCAATTACTGAAGTCACCTTTTCTCCCATTTGTATAGCATGAACAGAAAAGCTGACCAAAAAAAACAAATGCCCAATTAAACTCTACTTTAAGCCAACACCACCAGGAAAAAAATTACAAAAGGATGACTGTACTTGTAGTTCACGCGACTGATGATAGGAAGATGGTGCTTCACCTCCTTTTCAATGTTAGTCTTGAAAAAGGGATTGAGAACTTCTTTGATTTGTGGAACTCGTGTATGTTCAAACATGTGATCAAGTTTATTAAACCAACGCTCAAGTTCCTCGGGACGGAGTTTGAAGTCTGGAAAATATGTGGAAAAATATTATGGACAAAAGAGAAAATCAAGCTCCAATTCAAATAAAAGCAAGATAAGCAGAAGTTATTAACCTTGGTTTCCTTTTCCTTCAAACCCTATGAAAATAAAATTAACTGGCACGGGAAGATAGACAGAATCGACTTCCATAAGCTCTAGGTAACTCGCAATGTTTCCTGAAAAGATGCAATTCAAATTGCTAATTGAGCTATCATATCCTTTAGGATTCACAGCAACTGAATTGAAAACAAAAGGCAATTACCTGACTTAGTGTAATTCAGCACACCAGAATTCGAGTGGACTGAAGACTCCAAATCATCAAAATCTGATAAGAACATGAAAAATTGTGATGCAAAGGAACACATAGGAATCCAAAAGAAAGAGAGACCTGGAGACAGGACACATACCAGTACGAAAGACAGACTCGCTCCAAAATCTGCTTTTGTCCCTAAGATTGAATAAGGAAAACACAGAGGACTTCGCCGTCTTGCGGTTACCTTGTGAAGCTCCATATGATAGAGATGGTATGAACTAACCACGAAATCAATCGAAACAATTACGCAAGCTCATCAACAATTTCAAATTTGTTTATGATCAATTACTCATCTTGCGATGGATCGAAGGAAGGAATCGTGTACCAGGATAGCAACACAAATGGTGAATACGAGCTTGGAAACGGATCTGTTCCCAGTCCTGAATCTGCTCATCGTCTTCTTCTTCTTCTTCTCCTAGAAAACGGTAAATCGCAGTAGGGTTTTGCTCTCTCGTCCCGCAAAAATTCCCACACCGGCCACTGTGCTCGTCTTTTTTTGTCTTGCCCACGGATTTTTTTTCCGGCCTTAGCCAATTTTTTTTACCGTCTCAACAAAAAGAAAAAGTTTAAACATTAACTAACTATTGAGTCAAAATATAAAAGAAAATGACTATTTAAGAAAATCAAAAATAAATAAGTAACAAATGAATTCCAATACTCATTATAATAAATCGAAAAATTAACACATAGCCACAAATTATATATCATCACAATAAAAACCACTTAAAAAATCTTTTAAAAAAAAAAAACTAATGAATTGGTGTAACATCATATTGTATAAACAAATTTGTATAATGAATTGGTGTAAAAAAGACTCCTTAACAAAAATATCTTCATATTGTATAAACTAAAGTCAACCATACAATCAGATTCAAAAAAATCCACTAATTTTCATTTATTGGTGTAACATCCACTTGAGATATTATTATTTTCTCTATATGATCTAGAGCAACAAATGAAAACAAACATATACTGTAGACAATATACCATGTTGACAAAAAAAAAAAAAAGAAAAATATATACTTGCAATAATAACAAAATTTATTGTCAAAAAAATAAATTTATTCACTTGATACATAAACAAAAAAAAAAAAAGTATTTCATCACCATGGACACGTCTCAACTCTCTATATATTTTCGGTGAAGCAAATGGAATTTCTAACGAAACAGCTTTCTAGTCGCCGATGATCGACTCACAAAAGGATTTTTCACACGAGCTGGCCAACCATTAAACAAATTCGTACCAAAATAAACGTTCGTTATTCAACCATTTTAAATATGATTTTTGCCAACAAATTTTACGCGTCGTAGAAGCTATTCAATCAAACCAAGACTAATATTGTTATGTCTCATCGTCTAAAGCATGTTCCAGTCGATCACACCTATCGTCTACAACTAGAATAACTTGATCCGGCCAAAAAAAAAGAACACTTGATCCGACCATCCAATAATTGTTCACTAGATTTTGATCCTATATCTCCTAGAAATGCTCTTTCATTATATTTAGTAAATAAGAAAGTGAAAAAGGAGAAACAGATACTTCAACGAAGAATGAACAATTTCATATATCGACCAGGGCCGGCTCAAAAAATTTAAGGACTCTGAGCTGAAAAAAAATTAACCTTTATTTCTCATGTTTTTTAAAAAAAAAAAAAATTGGACCCTAAATTAGTAAATTTAGTTATGATAAAAGACTCAAAATTACAAGGACCTTGTGCATGAGCACCAAGGGCACATGTATAGAGCCGGGCCTGATATCGACACACATGTGCACATATTTACGTTTCATCATCATTCTCTTTCTTTCACCTTTAAGAAAGATATTTTTAGTCGGAAACTCCAATTCAGCTAAACATGTTCAATCAATTAAGTATTCTTGAAGTTGAAAGTTATTAAAAATGAAAAAAAAAATTGGTAGGAAATAATTTCAAGTTAAAGTTAGAAGACTAAGAGTCTAAGATAAGAGTAGACTAATTGAATTTAAATGGATTCATGTTTCCATATTATTCTAGTGTTATTCAATTATGTAATTCATAAAAAAATTAAAAATTATAATTGTTATTGAGACAATGAGATCTTTGAATTCTATTAAAATCGGAAAGCAAGGGAGGCCTAATATAAACTGATTGATTATTTCCAAGATATGGGCCTGTAATACAAAAGCCCAAATTATCCCTAATGACTTTATGAAAGCACCAAACCAAACTGACAAACTCCAAACTAGTTTAATTACTTTAGAGAGACATCGTTTGACGCGATGCTTACGTGTCATTTTTTGTCGTTATGGGTTGCCTAAAAGCAGCGGTCACTCGCTCGTGCGTGGCCGCTTTAAAATCCACTGGACTGGAGGAAACAGTACCAGCTAAGCTCGCAGCTCAAAGCTCATTGTGTAATAATTGTATAGCTTTTTGGGTGAAAAGAAGAGTCAGATCGGCGAGCCTGAGATGGGTTGGGGTTCGGTGTTGCTATTCCTGGCGGTGGCTCTGCTTTGTCAGAGGACAAGTTCAATCGGAGCTAACTGGGGCACACAGGCGTCGCACCCTCTTCCACCGGACATAGTTGTGCGGATGCTAAGAGAGAATGGTATTCAGAAAGTTAAGCTCTTTGACGCCGAGTACGACACTCTCAGAGCTTTGGGCAAATCCGGAATCGAAGTCATGGTTGGTATTCCCAATGAGATGCTTGCAACTCTCGCCTCTAGCCTCAAAGCTGCTGAGAAATGGGTTGCTAAAAATGTCTCTACTCACATCTCCACCGACAACGTCAACATCAGGTACTTCCTCTGTTTCTTCCCTTCTTTTAGGGTTTCACATTTGTACTGTACTAGTTGGGGAATGGGATTCTCCTAGACAGTTAGTAGCCATGTCTGAAATTACGGGTTACTGTCTTTTTTCTGAGATAAAATATCTACACTAATCTCTCATGTGTTAACTGTATCAGACCAGAATAATTAATCTCACTAAAGTTGGTACTGTGATTTGGTTGTTGCACAGATATGTGGCTGTTGGCAATGAACCTTTCTTGTCTACATATAATGGGAGCTATCTGAGTACTACTTTCCCTGCGTTGAGGAACATCCAAATTGCAATTATAAAGGCTGGACTTCAGAACCAAGTGAAGGTCACTTGTCCCTTGAACGCTGATGTCTATGACAGCTCAACCACTTTTCCTTCTGGAGGGGATTTCAGAGCTAATATCCGTGATCTCATGATCACTATCGTCAAGTTCTTGAGCGAAAATGGCGGCCCTTTCACCGTTAACATCTACCCTTTCATCAGTCTTTACAACAACCCCGATTTCCCAGTCGATTACGCTTTCTTTGATGGCAATTCACAGCCCCTGAACGATGGTGGGACTTATTATTACAACATGTTTGATGCAAATTACGACACTCTAGTGCACGCGCTGGAGAAGAATGGGTTTGGTAACATGCCTATCATAATTGGGGAGATTGGTTGGCCTACTGATGGGGACAGTAACGCGAATGTGGACTACGCTAGGAAGTTCAACCAAGGGTTCATGTCTCACATCTCTGGCGGGAAGGGGACTCCGAGGAGACCTGGCCCTATCGATGCGTATCTGTTCAGCTTGATAGATGAAGACGCCAAAAGTGTTCAGCCAGGATACTTTGAGCGACATTGGGGGATATTCACATTTGACGGCTTACCAAAATACCTCTTGAACCTAGGAACAACCAACTCAGGATCTCTGATCCAAGCCAAAGGGGTACGTTACCTACAGAGGAAGTGGTGTGTGATGAGGCCAAATGTGAGGTTGGACGATCCGCAGGTGGCTCCTAGCGTGAGCTACGCATGTAGCCTCGGGGATTGCACCAGCCTCGGGGTTGGGACGTCCTGTGCAAATCTTGACGGGAAACAAAACATATCGTATGCATTCAACAGTTACTATCAGATACAGGACCAGCTTGATACAGCTTGTAAGTTTCCAAACATATCAGAGGTGACCAAGACAGATCCCTCTACTGGAACCTGCAGATTTCCGATTATGATAGAGCCTTACTACGGTGGGGCAGCCCGGGAACACAGCTTCTTCTTCCCACTACTGATGGCGGCAGCTATCGCAGTCTCTATTTTTTGATGGTTTCTTCTTGTCAATTTGTAATTCTGTGTGATGGCTTGAACTCTTTTTTTTATTATTTTTTTTGAATTCTGATTTCTCTTCTCCAGACCAAGTGATTATTAGAACAGTTTTCAGGGACCAAACTGACCTTAAAACAATGCCATGTTCACTAAAACAATAACTGAAGATGAAGAATTATGTTTGGTATTTAGCCTTGTTGATATCCGAATGGTCATTTAATTTGTATTGTGGTCGTTAGAAAATTAGCAACACGCCTTAGTTTTAGGCTTTCTCACAAATAAGAAAGGTTCTTGTTCACTTTCTCCCTGAAGATTTGTTTCTTAAATCCTGCAGAGAATGTCCTTTTATTGTTTATAGACATCTGATCTAACTACAGATTTTAGAACAACTTCAAATTCTTCATATGAAGAGTTTACTTTTCTCCTTGCTCTTGTTCTTCTTTTCTTTTTGTAGATAGGAAACTAGGCGATGATTTATCTAATTTCTTAATCTTTGACTCCAATCATAATATATCTTAACTTAATGCTTGGAACTAAAGAGGAGAATATGACTCTCCACGTCTCCATAAATGGAAAGAGGTGCGCAAATATAGAAGGGAATATGTATGATGATTATGTGAAGAATTAAGGGCCGGATTAATGGCATAAAAATTCCATATAAACGAAATTATCATTTTCTAAAAAAGTTATTCGAGATCTTTTTTGACGAGTTAGGGTAACTGTGATCTCAATCAAATTAAACCCTAATCATTAATCAATATCTTTTTTTCGACATCTCGTTTTTACCTAAGTTTGAAGTTGGAGAGTAGGACTATACAGTAGTCTCCTATTCCAAACTTGAGGTTTTCGGAATATCAGATTATAAAACTATGAAGTTTCTACTCCCTCCTTCTGAATCCCATCTCGTCCCAAGTCTTAGCAAGAAACAGAATGAAGATGATAGTGACAGAAAAGAAGAAGATGGTAAGGGGAATGAACACAATGGTATGGAGTCATGTACCCGAATGAAGCGTACCGTTTGGACAGTGGAGCTCCACCAGAAGTTTGTCAATGCTGTTCAGCAATTGGGAGGCGTCGACAGTGAGTTTCCCCATAAACCTCTTTTAACCTTTCCTTATGTGTGATGTCCACTCTTGTTTCTGCTAAAGAGTTATTTTGATGCTTTCATGTGTGGATCCTCTTTTCATTTCTCCTTGTGTTTGCTTTCTCTGGGTCTCTATTGCAGAGGCTTCTCCTGAACAAATACATGCTCTCATGAATGTAGAAGGTCTCCCAGTGATAAATGTAGCCAGCCATTTGCAGGTACTAACTTCCCATTCTCTCATGCAATTTGACTTGTTTCGACTTTTGATGATGAGATGGTTCGACTTGTATGTTTGTTTTTTCTCTCTGGTTTTGGTTGCAGAAGTACAGACTGTACTTGAAAAAGATAGACGAAGGTCAGCAGCTGTACATGGCCACAAGACAACTGCTCTTATCCGCAGGTTCCCATCTCCCCCAAACGCCATCCACAAAACACTGCTCCAGCTTCATCCAACAGGGGCATCACCAGAACTCAAGCAACTCAGCTAATCCATCTGAAACATATCACACTACTCTGTCACCAAGAGTCCAGAAAGTGAATACGTTTCAACCAAGTTCATCTCCACTAAAGCCCCTATTGTTTCCTAAAAGCAATATCTCTGCATACAAGGAAGATTTTAAAGGCATAAAGGACACAGCAAATGTTGGTAATAGCTCCATAGATTCTTCCAAGCCACGCAACAGTTTCCAAACAGCCTCTAAATTTCCAAAGACGGATCCTTGTACCGGAAGCTACATAATTGATATTATGACAGAGCCCTACTACTACGGAAAGGCTTCTCGGAGACACAGATTCTTCTTCCCAATGCTGCTAGCTGCCGCCATCTTACTCTCTATTTATTTATGGTTTTTTGTCAATGTGTAACAACTCTATGTGATGGCTGCAACTTTCTTTCATTTTCATTTTCTCACTGGATTATGTTTTGGTGTTTCGCATTTTGATATCCTCCTGTTCTCAATAATTCAGTACCAGCAATTATTATCAAACCAGAAACCCACGAAATTTCCCAATTTCAGGACTTTTGAAATCCCAAAACCCAAAAGACTAATCCAAAAGTTATTAATGCTTGGAAGTTGGAAAGAGGTGCAAGAAAAACAAAAGGAATATATGATGATTAATTGATTATGTGGAGAATTAAGTGCCGGATTTAATGGGATAAAGATTTCCGTATAAACGAAATTATCATAATCTAAAAAAGGTTAGTTGAGATTTTTTTTTGACGAGTTATTAGGGTGACTGTGATCTTAATCAAATTAAAACCCTAATAACCGAAGCTGAACATTCTCTGCTAATCTATCACCGTACTCCGTTACCAAGAGTCGAGAAGGTGAATCTGTCTCAACCAAGTTCAAATCCACTAGAGCCCCTCGTGTTTCCTAAAAGCAATTTCTCTGCATACATGGGAGATTTTAAAAGCATAAAAGAGCCAGAAATTGTCCAAGAGTCACGTACTCGAAAGAATCACGGCCGTGTCGTTTGGTCACATGAACTCCACCAGAAGTTTCTCCATGCCATTGACCAATTGGGCGGAAACGACAGTGAGTTTCCCCATATACACCTTTTCACCTTGTCTCTTGTTTCTCGTAAAGATGTATTTCATGTGTGTGGAGTCATCTTTTCATGTATCCTAATGTTTGTTTTCTCTGAGTTTCCATTACAGAGGCTATTCCCAAGAAAATACTTGCCGTCATGAATGTAGAAGGTCTCACTAGGCTAAACGTAGCCACCCATTTGCAGGTACTCATTTCCCATGCATCCTCTTGTTTCGAGTTTTGATGATGAGATGGTTCGACTTGTTTTTTTTTCTCTCTGGTTTTGGTTGCAGAAGTACAGACAATGTTGTTCAACCGAAGCTCAGCAGCTGAACATGGCCACAAGAAAACTACCAAGCTCGGAACATCTGCCCCAAAGTCCATCGACAAATCATCACAGTAGTCTGTCACCAAGAGTCCAGGACGTGAATATACGTTTCAACCAACTTCATCTCCACTAAAGCCCCTCTTGTTTCCTAAAAGCAATTTCTCTGCATTCAAGGAAGATTTTTAAAAGGACCCAATGCTGCTCTTACTCTCTATTTATTTATGGTTTTTTTTTTTTTCTCTCTCTTTGTGATGGCTGCAACTTTCTTTTATTATTTCCTATCAGTATTATGTTTTGGTTTTTGATATCTCTAATCTCAATAATTCAGTCCCAAAATCCACAAGACTCCATGGATGAGTGATTGAAGAACTCAAAAACCCAGCTCCACATTTGATATCAATCTCCTAGAACCTCTGTATTGTTAACTCAGCCGAGATCATCTTATACTCAGATTATTATTACCACACTACTACAAGCCTAGACGAAATTCACCCTATATATAACATCAAGAACCCTTGATTCTCCCAATCTCCAACATAGAGCAGATTGACACGAAACAGACAACATCATGTCTTTAGAGTTGTGAAGAGATTTTAGTGTTTTCAGGTCTAGAGCAAGCAAACAGAGTTGTCTGTTTTGTTAGTTGTGTTTGTACCAATGGAAAGGAAACTGGAAATGAGTCTATGTGGTAGTGGAAATCAGACCAAAAGATTATTTTTTTGGAGTGGTGCATAGTTCCAATGGTTTGGTGAGGGATATAGTTAGACTGTTGGAGAGTCGTCAGCAAAACATGAAATGTCAATCTCAGCAACAATTTGTGAGGCCGTTTTCACATTGGTTGTGATTTCAGATAGAATAATCAAGAAAATGGCAGAGTGGTCAGAAGTATGACTAAGAACTAAGAATGTGGAGCAAGAAGAGTCAACGGATTCGAATGCCTGAATGTGATCAGGTCAGTCCATTGCATTTGTCGAATTTGTGACCATACGGGTAATTTCAGAATCAGATTTTTTTTTGGGTGCATTCACTTTGAAGACTAAAAAGGAAAAACATTTCTATGGAAAATAAGAAATAAGGAAAGCCAGGAAGGGTTGAAATGCTGGGTTTGAACGTTTATTTGCGAGTAAGGAAAGAAAATGGGGACATTTACATTCACTTTACGAAAAGTTGTCTTTTGTGCACAGAAATGGCAAGATTCAACAAACAAAAGGAAAGTAGAGGAACATGTGACTCTCCTCGTCCTCATATATGGAAATATGAGCAAATACAGAAGGCAATTTGTGATTATTTGGAGAATTAAGGGCCAGATTAACCGCGTAATCACACTCTCTTTTTTGGGCCTCTCGTCTTTATCTTTTTACATTTGTCTGTCTATAGGACTATGGTCTTCTAGTCCCAAACGTCAGGTTTTAAAAATAATTAAACAGATGAGATTTTAGTCTATGTACTATTTTCCTTTGAGAACGATAACGGAAGAGAGGAGACGACTTGCAGACGTATTGCATCAACTATGGAGTTGGGAAGCACTGAAGATGGAAGGCATGACAAGTTTCCGGTAGGAATGAGGGTCCTTGCTGTGGATGACAATCCAACCTGCCTTCGCAAACTCGAAGAGTTGCTCCTTCGCTGCAAGTATCATGGTACTTGTTCTTTGCTTTTGCTTATTTTGTTTTTTACCTGTCTGCTTCGGAATTAGGATGCATGATCAATGATGTTTGATTGATTACGCTAGTGACAAAGACAATGGAGTCGAGGAAAGCTCTGGAATTGCTGAGAGAAAACAGCAACATGTTTGATCTGGTCATAAGCGATGTAGAGATGCCAGACACGGATGGCTTTAAGTTGCTTGAGATCGGTCTTGAAATGGACCTTCCTGTCATCAGTACGTCCCCTCCCATTTTTTTCATAGAAACTCTAGTCTTCTTCTAACTTGCTTCATTGTCTCAGTGTTGTCAGCTCATAGCGACTATGACAGCGTTATGAAAGGTATTATACATGGCGCTTGCGATTATCTGGTCAAGCCTGTTGGACTCAAGGAGCTTCAGAATATATGGCATCATGTTGTGAAGAAGAACATTAAATCTTACGCCAAAAACATAGGCCCTTCTCGCCAACTGCTCCCACCTTCTGAATCCAATCTCGTCCCAAGCGCCAGCAAAAAACGGAAAGAAAAAGCCAATGACAGTGGTGATGAAGATGACAGTGACAGAGAAGAGGATGATGGTGAGGGGAGTGAACAGGATGGTGACGAGGCAGGTACGCGGAAGAAGCCACGTGTTGTTTGGTCGCAGGAGCTCCACCAGAAGTTTGTCAGTGCTGTTCAGCAATTGGGCCTCGACAGTGAGTTTCCCCATAAACCTCTTTAACCTTTCCTTTTGTGTGATGTCCACTCTTGTTTCTTTTGATGCTTTCATCTGTTGAATCCTCTTTTCATTTCTCCTTGTGTTTGTTTTCTCTGGGTCTCCATCACAGAGGCTGTTCCCAAAAAAATACTTGATCTCATGAGTATAGAAGGTCTCACTAGGGAAAACGTAGCCAGCCATTTGCAGGTACTAATATATTCCCCATTCCTTTGCTAATATAATCTTGGATGGTGAGAAGATTCGACTTGTTTTTTTTCTCTGGTTTTGGTTGCAGAAGTACAGACTGTACTTGAAAAAGATAGACGAAGGTCAGCAGCAAAATATGACCCCAGATGCATTTGGAACCAGAGATTCATCTTACTTTCAGATGGCTCAACTTGATGGACTTAGAGATTTTACTGCCACAAGACAAATTCCAAGCTCGGGACTCTTATCGCGTTCCCATCTCACCAAACTTCAACCCCCTATGTATTCATCAATAAATCTCCAAGGAATGAACTCCTCCAGCTTCATCCAACAGGGGCATCACCATAACTCAAGCAACTCAGCTAATCCATTTGGAACATATCACACTACTCTGTCACCAAGAATCCAGAACGTGAATCTGTTTCAGCGAACTTCATCTCCACTAGAAACCCTCCAGTTTCCGAGGAGCAAGTCATACATCGGAGATTTTAAAGGCATAGGGGACCGAGCAGTTGGCGGTAGCTTCCTAGATTCTTGTATGCCATTTGGGAGCTCTAGCACCTCTTTGCCAAGTGCTTCCACCAATACTCTAATGTTGCAAGCAAACTATACACAACCCCTGCATATATCCTCAGATGGAAATCAGCCTTGCATCGAGGGAACTCCCTCCAACTCTGCCTCCCCAAACATCAGTTTCCAAGGCTTATCTAGATTTCCAAGTCATAGCTGGCAAGGGAATTTGAACACAACCAGATTCCCACCGAGTTCCTTACCTCTAAATCCTGCTTTCTTGCCGGATCAAGTGACATGTGCAGGGAACAATCTGGGAGATTGTACCTCTTTGGTTTCTGCAGGGAATCCTGGTGGAGAGATTCAGTGTGAGCCTCAGTTACTTGGCGGCTTCATGCAGAACATGAATCCGTTAGACGGACAGAAATGGGAGCAACAAAACTGCACCATGCTGAACAATCCATTCGGTAACATTGAGTATCCTCTACCCGCAGATAACATGGTTTTCAGAGACAACAATGCAACCAGAAGCAAAGGCTTGGATGAGTCACTGATGAACCCAATAGACAACAGTCAGGAGTATGTTGGAAAAGCTACTACAATGCTGGATCCAGAGATGAAGTCAGGAAAGCCAGAGAATGACAACCAGCACGATGTATTCGATGACCTAATGAATGAGATGATGAAACAGGTAACGCCTTGTTTTCTTGATTGGACTAAAAGCTTTTTTGTAATAGTAGAAAATGAAAGTGCATGTGTTTGTTGCAGGAGGAGAATAACGGAATGGTGTCAGTGGCTACTAGATTTGGCTTTGATTCGTTTCCTCCGCCTTAAGTAGTCATCTCCTTCTCTATCAGTTGCATTAAGTTTCTCCACTTGAGACCATTTTCATTTCTTTTTTCTTCCCACATTGTTTCCTTCGACTGTCAATAGATCAGCTGACACAGTGCACCTACCTTTTTCATACTCTCTTTGATGAATTGGAATTGGAATTGAAAGCGAGCATGTTTCAAAATTTTAATTTACAAAGTTTCTGAATAAGTGTAATATACGAATAGTAATGGGCCTAATTGATATCGTTGGTTGCATATGGAGCCATTGTGAAGTATAGGCCTCGACAAATAAACCGAACCGAATGTACCGAATTGAAACGGAAGTAAAATAAACCGAACCGAACCAAAATTTTGAAAATAACCGAATGGATACTAAATTCTATAACCGAAATAACCGTAACCGAATCGGTACCGAACCGAAATATTTCGGGTAACCGAAATACCCAAAATACAATTATATTTTCAAAATAATTAGTTATTTATAGACTAAATAATCAAAAATACTTGAAAAATATATAAAAATAGTAAAAATATTCGAAAATAACTGAAATATATCCAAAAATATTCGAAAATACTCAAAAATAACCGAAATATCCGAAAATATCCTGAGCAAAATAACCGAATGGATACTAAATTTTAAAACCGAAAGAACCGGAACCGAACCGAAACCGAATCGAAATTTCAAAATATCCGAATGGATACTAAATTTTGAAACCGAAAAAACCGAAACCGAATGGACCCAACCGATAACCGAATAGTTAACCGAAAGCCCAGGCCTAGTGAAGTGTCAATAAGAAGAGATATTCGATAAAAAAAAATAATAATAAGAAGAAGAGATATTTACATTTTCAGGTGTTAAAAAAAAGAAAAAAAAAAGAAGAGATATTTACATGTCGATACGATATTTTGGTGGGGCCGAGAAACGGCTAGAGGAAGTCAAATCAAAATGAGACTGTGTGGCCCATTGTATTGTATCCTTCTTCCAACAGAACAAAGAGACATTTGTGTCCTCCACCTTTATTCACATTTGTAACTGCTAGACGCTACTAGAACCCTTGCCCTACACGCTTTCCACGTGTCATCCTCTCGTCCCAGCGAAATCTCCTTGATATTTCTATTTCCCTATAAAGAAATGAATCTCTCGTCTTATCCTTTTACCTCAAAGAAAACATCGAAATCTTAGAGAAGAAGAAAGAAAAGAGAAGAGAAATGACAGAGAAGAAAGAGATGCAGGTGGTGAAAGGGCTCGACTTGGAGAGATACATGGGCCGTTGGTACGAGATTGCTTCTTTCCCCTCAAGGTTTCAGCCTAAGAACGGCGTCGACACTCGCGCCACCTACACCCTTAACCCCGACGGTACGGTGCACGTCTTGAACGAAACGTGGAGCAACGGAAAGAGGGGTTTTATCGAAGGCAGCGCCTATAAGGCCGATCCTAAAAGCGACGAAGCCAAGCTCAAAGTCAAGTTCTACGTTCCTCCTTTCCTCCCAATCATTCCCGTCACCGGCGACTACTGGGTGCTCTACATCGATCCTGACTACCAGCACGCTCTCATCGGCCAGCCTTCCAGGAGTTATCTCTGGGTTGGTACCTTTTCATTTTTGTCTGTAAATAATAATCGAAATGATCCCAAAAAGGATTGACTAAGTTTTGTGGGTGGTGTAGATATTGAGCAGGACGGCGCATATGGAGGAAGAGACGTATAAGCAACTGGTGGAGAAGGCGGTGGAGGAAGGTTACGATATCGGCAAGCTTCACAAGACTCCTCAGAGTGACACACCACCTGAGTCCAACACTGCCCCTGAAGACTCCAAGGGCATTTGGTGGTTCAAATCTCTCTTCGGCAAATAGATTACTCAACACACAAAAGACTTCGTTTCACCTCTTTACTCTTTTGTCTGTGTAATATATTACCTCGTTTGTCTACTCTAGTTATCGTCCATCTGTTTTTGTCTATTTGCAACATCTAAAATCTATATGCAAAAGTCATCTCTATTGTCATATTATAACTCATAAGGAAGCGCGCACAAATTCAATCAGATAATCTGGCAAACACAATTGAAATCTTGCAGCAGTGACATTATGTATTTGGATAAACACACCACACGACTCGAGTCTTATGGAATATCAAATAATGCATGCAAACTACAGACGGAATTATATGTATAGTAGATAGACGATAGAAAAACAGTCTCCCCCCAGCAAAAGTTTGGTTGACTATATACCCAGGACTCTTCCAGAGTAGCAAGCAGCTCACAGAATAGTACAGCATGAATTTGTTTTCTTCGCTTGCTTGTAAAACATCTGTTCCAACCAAAACAACCAAATCAGATTCTCATGCTGGAAGTAAACTTGGTTTACCTATCTCAATAACGATGAATATCATGTGATTGCAGATGATATGACTAATCAATATGTTCCTCCGCATGATCAGATGAGATAGCAAAACCTAGTTTCCTATGAATCTTCGTAAACCTAATTGGTTAATTCCAACTATATAGTCCAAACTGCACTCAAATGTCGGGGTATACTACTGCGGGCTGAAGGAGAAAGCTTTTCTCAAAAAAGGTATTCAAGAGCAACTGGAACGTTTTCTAAATCCACATTCTTCCTCTATTTATCTACCCCAACAATAACATGCAATAGTTCCTCTATCTATCAACAACCCGCTCATGTCCTACCCTTTCTAACGTGTTAACCAACTATGCTCAGAAACCGAGACAGGGAAAACAGGAAAGTGATCTATATATAGATATGGGGATTTCTAGTATGCGATGGTAGAATGTTACCTGTGATGCCATGCTTAAATCTGAGCTCTTCTCCACTAGGCTGTCCAGCTTCTCACCACGGGCTAGAACACTATCAATGGTTTTATGCTACAACACAGAACAAAAAATTCAGTCGACATCCATCATAACTGCAAGACTTTCTTCTTGTTTTGGTGTTTTTCAGAAGAAAGTAAACTCATCGACAGAACAGCATTTATGTATAATTGGCATGTTTACTGGAACTTTCTTTTCTATGTATAAGGGTCTACAAGAGAGGACCGGAGACAGCACTTACAAGGATAATCTTGGTCTCATCCAACTCCCTCTGGATTTTCAACAGCTTATCAGCCTCTGCTGGGTCCTGAAGATTACAAATACAGGGTCAATCACAAAACCAATATATATAAGTTCTAATCACTTAAAATCCAAAATCAACTTGGTCATAAAACAATGGGGCTAGTAAAATTAATTCGTGAAGAATCATTCGATTGGATTCTAATGTCCACCTAATTGAGCTTAATATAACTATAGTTTTTAACAAGATTCACAGGCAAAAACGAGTTGCACAAGGGAAGAACCTGAAATTTGTTTAAAGCTTCAGTTAAGTATGGCCAAGGCTGACTGGAGTCTTCTTTTGCAGACCTCCATGCCTCACCAAAACTCTTCTGGTACTCATCTAGGACCTGAGACAAAAGCAAACAGAATCATTTCCTCTCGACGAGAACATAGATTCTTAAGAGATTAAACTACAGGAAAACAACAACGACTGATGCATTGAGAAGCACTTTAAACGTAGAAATGATACCTGATTAAGAAGAGAAAAAGCACTTCGAACAGGATAATGATCATCCATGAACCCCACCGCGCAAAGGCCATTTCTATTGTAAGCGTGAACCTTGTACTCTACATCAAAAACAAAAACACGAACCCTAATTATCCCAAAATCGAGGACAAGAACAAAAAGCTGCAATCGCGTGAAATTAAAGCCGGGGCATAATCCAGGAAGATCTAGAATCAGAAAAGGTGCACATCCTAAATCGAAAAGCCGATCCGAATCTTAAGAAGTCGAATAAAAAGGCAAAGAGGAAAAGAGATTGCATAGATCCAGGAGAAACAAGCTTCAAAAACAATCGATCTAGAGGTAGAAGAAGAAGAAGAAGAAGAAGAAGAACCTTCGTGTTGGACAGACTGGCGCTGGGAAGGAGGGGTTCGGCTGGCGACAGTGCGACCGACAAAGACGACGAACTCCTTGACGCTAGATCGCTGGAAATAACCGAAGTGAGAGACGTCGGAAGCGTTGGCGAGGATAACGGGATCAGAAGTTTCGGGAGCGCACTTGAGAACCAGTAAGGCGGTGATCTTCATAGCTGCGGTGGATCGAAGGTTGCGTGAGAAGGAAGCGAGGAGGAGAGGAGAAGAGGCGTTGGACCTGGAAACTAAGTCGGAGATGCTTAAGGCAAAATAAGTTTTGAGGTGTCGAACCAGACGCCTTCTCTTTAACATTGAATAATGAATATATACCATTTTTTTTTTCTTATTCGCTATATCCATTTAATTAAATAAATAAATAAACATATTCTACGTTTGAACTTTGAAGTAAACAAAATCACTTTGGTTCAATTCAATTCTATGTGGACAATCTCGGTTCGCTTTAGGAAATATTATTGATGCTGAATTGGACCGGAGATTTTGGGTTTTTCCAACAGAGAATTGGATTTTTAAGAATGTTATGTTTAGGCAAAAACTGATCGGTATAGATTGTACCGAATCAAAAACCAAAGAATATTATAATTTCTGCTGCCAATCGCCTTTTCTTATTAACGGAGTATCGGTTTGGCCAACTTGGTTTGGTCCAAATTCCCCATATATGACAAATGAATGTAGTATAAAGTCCAAAACATGTAAAATTAACAAAACTTTGAGTGGTGGTAGATAAAATTGTGCAAAGAAGATGTACGAAAACATAAAAAAAAGGAAAAGCGGTTAAGAAGGGAATGGAGGGGAAAAAGAGATAAAAATAGAAAGGAGTAAATGGCCATAAATGGGATATGAGAGAGCAAGTTACTTTTTTTACCATTAATTAACCTTGTTTGACCCATCACCCCTTCTCTTCTTTTTCCTTCCTCTAACCAAACGAGGAAAACAAGCAGAAGAGGGGATTCATGTTCTTTTCTCGCTGTAAGATCTCTCTTTCACAATTTTCTTTAATGTGAAAACTCTGTTTTTGTTTATGTATCTCTGGCTTTGCTTTTTCTATTGGGGCACAAATGCAGGATCAATCACAAGAGATGCTGAGGTTTTTCATTCTTTTCTCCCTTTTCTTACACTCCTGTGTTGCGGCACCCAAGACTCCTGCTGCTGCCGCGGCTGTTCCTGCCAAGAAATGGCTTACCCTTAACGGTGACCATCCTTTTACAGAGTATGCCCATATTGCATACCATGTTGTTTGTTTGTTTCTAAGAATCCGTACCTGTCTTTTGTCTTCCAGGACAAGAGCCTGCCGTTGTGGCCAGAGGCGGCTTCTCGGGTCTTTTCCCTGAGTCAAGCGCCCCTGCAAACGACATGGCTGTTAGCACCAGCTCGCCTGGCCTCACAATGTTGTGCAACCTTCAGATGACTAAGGACGGTGTGGGCCTTTGCTTGTCAGATATCAGACTTGACAATGCAACCACCATCTCCTCGCTCTTCCCCAAAGCCCAGAAGACCTACAAGGTCAACGGTCAGGACCTCAAGGGCTGGTTTGTCCTTGATTACGATGCCGACACCATCTTCTCCAATGTCTCTCGTATGTCTTCTCTTCTCTTTTCCTTCCTCCAATACTCCCCACTACCACACCTTTTCACTTTTTCTTGTATTCTGGAGCAGTGGTCCAAAACATCTTCTCTCGGCCCAGCATCTTCGACGGCCAAATGCCGGTTTCCGCAGTGGAGGACGTCCTCGGAACCAAGCCTCCCAAGTTCTGGTTGAGCGTTCAGGTATCTCTTCTTCTCTTTGTGCACATGATTAACCAACATTGGGAGGGTTCTTGTTGATTCATCGAAAAAATCAAACAATACAAATGTGCAGTACGATGCCTTCTACATGGAACACAAGCTGAGCGCAGCCGAGTACCTGAGAAGCTTGCGATTCCGCGGCATTAATGTCATTTCATCTCCAGAGATAGGTTTCTTGAAGAGCATTGGGATGGACGCAGGCAGGGCCAAGACAAAGCTCATATTCGAGTTCAAAGAGCCCGAGGCAATTGAGCCCACCACAAACAAGAAGTACAGCGAGCTTCAGCAGAACCTCGCAGCCATCAAGGCCTTTGCTTCAGGCGTTCTTGTCCCCAAAGACTACATTTGGCCTCTTGACTCAGCTAAGTACCTTAAGCCTGCCACCACTTTTGTGGCTGATGCCCATAAAGCCGGTCTAGAGGTCTATGCCTCTGGGTTTGCCAACGACATGCGCACTAGCTTCAACTACAGCTACGATCCCTCCACTGAGTATCTCCAGTTTGTGGACAATGGCGAGTTCTCTGTTGATGGCGTCATCACCGACTTTCCACCAACAGCATCACAAGCCATCAGTGAGATGACTTGCTATCTACCCTCATCATATATATGATTATTAGAAACAAGCTAACGCCTCACGCGTATGTGTTCTTGCAGCTTGCTTTTCTCACCAAAAGGGCAATCTCCCAAAAGCAGGGCATGCATTAGTTATAACTCACAATGGAGCAAGCGGGGACTATCCAGGCTGCACTGATCTGGCTTACCAGAAAGCAATCGACGATGGAGCAGATGTGATCGACTGCTCTGTTCAGATGTCTAAAGATGGAATCGCTTTCTGCCATGATGCTGCAGACCTCACAGCAAGCACCACTGCCATGACTACTTTCATGTCCCGAGCCACCAGCGTTCCTGAGATCCAGCCTACCAACGGCATTTTCTCTTTTGATCTTACATGGGCCGAGATACAGTCTGTGAAGCGTAAGAAACTGATTTCTTTTCTTTAGATTTCTGAAACTATCTCATTCTCAACTAAATCACTGAGATTGGCGTATCTTTGTCTTCAGCACAAATCGAGAACCCCTTCACTTCCACGGGCTTCCTGAGAAATCCAGCAAACAAGAACGCTGGGAAGTTCACGACTCTTGCGGACTTCCTTGAGCTCAGCAAAGAAAAGGCAGTCACTGGAGTTTTAATCAACATTGAGGTAAGCCATTTTAACTTCCAAATGCTCCTTGATTAACACAAGGAAGCTCCACTAACACTTTGTTTGTTGACAGAATGCTGCTTATTTAGCCTCGAAGAAAGGCCTAGGAATCGTAGACGCAGTCAAGTCTGCTCTGACCAATTCCACACTCGACAAGCAATCAACTCAGAAGGTTTTGATTCAGTCGGATGACAGTTCAGTTCTATCTAGTTTCGAGGCTGTCCCTCCTTACACTAGAGTCTTGAGTATCGACAAGGAGATCGGAGATGCTCCTAAGCCATCCGTCGAAGAAATCAAGAAGCACGCAGATGCTGTCAATCTCATGAGAACCTCCCTCGTCACCGTCTCCCAAAGCTTTGCCACAGGAAAAACTAACGTGGTAGAGGAAATGCACAAAGCGAATATCTCTGTTTACGTCTCGGTCCTAAGAAATGAGTACATCTCCATAGCGTTCGACTACTTCTCTGATCCTACGGTAGAGCTTGCAACATTCATTGCAGGGAGTGGCGTCGATGGAGTAATCACAGAGTTCCCTGCCACCGCAACCAGATACTTAAGTAAGTTAAAACTTCTACAAGAATATATATATGCACATTACAAAGATAAGGCTGATCAATTATATTTGATGCAAATGCAGGGAGTCCATGCTCAGATTTAAACAAAGACCAGCCCTATGCCATCTTACCTGCAGAAGCTGGCGCTCTACTCTCCGTTGCAGACAAGGAAGCACAACCACCAGCTAGTGCGCCAAACCCACCTCTTGATGCCAAAGACGTGATTGATCCGCCTCTGCCCCCGGTTGCAAACATGGCCTCCTCCAATGGAACTGGAGAAGGTCCGCCACATACTCCTCCTTCTTCAGGCACCGGTGCCACTGCTGCTAATCTCAGCCTTTCCTTGCTGGCAATGATGGCTTTGGGAATCCTATATACAGCCTAATAAGATTGATCACTCCATATAACTTCAAAGGTTGTAACATGTTTGCCCTCATAGTATTCAAACTAAACACAACTTGAGCTATCTATTTTTTTTACTCACGTTAACCAAAATATGCAGCAAACAGTGATTTGTTGTTGTAGATCAAAAGCTCTACAGAAACTTTCTTTGTTGTCATAGGAATGTTTGATTTCGGTAGAGATTTTGAATCTTGATAATCGTTCATATTTCATTACGAAGAGTCTCTACTTTCATAGTTGTTGCTCTCTGATATCTTGACATTGTTAACCTGCGAAAAGAAAACACCAATGATCAAGACATCAAAGGCCGATTACAAAATAAAAATAGTAACAAAATTACAACAGTATATGATACAGTGCCGTTAAGTATTTTTAAAATATTCTCGCTCTCTCCGGAGGCGCTAAGTATAAGAACAAAAATCTAAAAGACCAATAATCTTTGACAAACGTTACATCAACTTCTACAAGAGTATTCTCTCAGAGTCATCCTTAAGCGTATTCCCTCCCTATTCTTACACAACTTAGCTCATCCCACACATACTCTCCCTAATCACCTAATTAATCTCCATTGAGCTTGATCTTCCAAGGCATTACTGCTACAACTGCCCCGTGGGATGGGAGAATTCCATGTCATCCGTTTAAGCATCGGAAGCTACATTGAGAATCAAACTATCCTCAACCCAGCCGAAGAGGGCCAGTTCATCGCTTTTTATTTCAACTCCAGTTTATGACTCTCAGCTACTCGTCCACCGTCTTTTCCTTGCTGGCCGCTCTGCTTTCACCTCTGAATCCACAGGGCCTTCAATTTTTGCAGAGGGCAGTGTCTCAGACTCCATTTTCTTAACTCCTGTGGTGTCTTTCTCCGTGGGCATTGGAAGCTTGAACCTTTCACTGCGTTTCTTGAGTTTCTCAACCGTGTCCAAGTGCCAGTCTCCTGGTCCCTTCTCGCTTCCATCTTTGGTCTCTGCAAGGTTATGGCCACTTTTCTCTTCAGTTACATCCCGGCTCTTGCTAATAGAACCATGAACAGGTTCACTAAGCCTGCCGTTAGTGTTTTTGTCCTTTTCTTCAAGCTTTGAGGAAATGGATGATGACTTGGCAGAGACAGTATCATCTCTCTCTTTGTGGCTTGCCCAACGCTCCAGTTTTGTACGTCCTCTCTTTGAATCATGTAGCTCATCACCAGAGGATGCATTTTCCTTGTGTCTTTTGGTGGGGTTAGGCTGCTGTGGGTTTTCACTCCTGCAATTCCTTGCTTCGTTTGTTCCTTTTGAGCCCTGAAAGATATGAAAGAAACATCACTACTGACCGTGAAGCAGAATAAAATTGACCAAACCATGAAATATCTTA